CCACAACCAATAGGTCAAAAAAAATCACAGGGGTAATTACAAAATACTTTAAAATCAATGAAAATGCAACATCTCAAAACATTGGGGATACAATGAAAGCAATGCTTAGAGGAAAACTTATATCAATAAATGCCTATGTTAAAAAATGATTAAAATATGAAATGTTAAAGATATATACACAATAAAAATAATATATTTTAAAAAGTATTATTTTATCACTAACTGTGTCTATTCTCATGAAATCAAGTGTATGCTTCTCTAAGAAAATGATGACCATTTTTCATCCCTATGTAACTGCTACTTCCATCACCTAACACACATCCACATTTGCCTACCAGAGACCAAACAACTGAAGCAACTAACTGTAGATTCTAAACAAAGCTGTGGTGATGAAATAACATCTGCATGTGTATTTGTAAATAGTTAGCTGGACACATAAAATGAGTAATTATTCTGGAAATTTTAGCTAAATAAAGATGACATACAAATAAAAATGCATGTATTTAAAAATTCTTTCTATACCATTATAAAGCTCACAATTTTTTTTCTTATATTTAAATGGAAGGATCTCACAAGCTAAACTTGGCAACATGCTTACAATGTTTGTGAAGAAAATGTCTACTTAAATATCAAGGTATTTATAAAGGCAGATCCTAAGTGGATCCTAAGTGAAAACTAAGAGTGAAGGTTTTCCATAGCTTTTTTCCCATAAACTCCTTTAGCTCAGAGATATGATTACATACATTACCCAGCAATTAACACAAAAGTAGTACAATCTGGTGTGACCTCAGTCATGTCGAGGTCACCACCTGAGACATCATCCACCACCTGCGGAGGTCTGGCCTGCACACTCTGACTCAACTATGCATGAATGAATGCACTCTCACAGCATTTCAGTGATTCAAGTGGGCTAGGGATGGTCGTCAGCTGCTTTCAGAGAATGAACTGCAGTCAATTGACCAAGATTCCCTCTCCATCATTACATATATTCAGTCAGATTTTACAACAAAGGTTCTAAGTTAACACACTTGTGCATAATTAACATGGTGAAAAGAGTGGTTTTATGAATGATAAAAGCTTTAGGTTTTGAGCCCAGAGTAACAGTATTAACAGGTAATTCTCTGATTTTCCCCTGAGAGGGTCATCAACACAAAATTTACGTGAGTAAACAGAGTAGAGACAAAGGGATATGGGGTAATCAGACTTAAACTGGGAAAGCCTTTTATTTTCTCTGTCTCTTTCCTATGCTAATGCAAATGCCTGCCTCTGCCTTCAGCCTGTCCCAATAAACCCTTTTCACCTTCCAAAAGTCTGAGATTACAATCTATAACTATTCCTAATATTTAATGTTTTGCCAGCTACCCTGAGGGAATCTCAACCATCCTGTGCCTTAGTACATTTTTGCTGCTTTAACAAAGTACCTCAGATTGGGTAAAATACAAAAATAGATATGTGTTTTTCACAATTCTGGAGGCTGAGTAGTGCAGGATTAAACCTGTAGTGGGTTTATCATGTGGTGATAGCTGTTCTCTGCTTGGAAAAATGCTGCCTATTCTTGCACCCTCTGAAGAGGAGAAATACGGTGTTCTCAGACGGTATAAGTTACAAGGACAAAAAGGCTAAACACTGCATAAATCTTCTTCTATATGGGCCTTAGCTGCAATCAGTAGTGAGAAACCCTCATGTCCTAGTTGCCTCTTTTAGGCCCCACTTCATAACTCCATCACATTGGCCATTGTTTCAATATGAAGAGTAGTTCACACAAAGTTCTTATTTATGTATATTGCAGTTACTTAACAAATTAATTATTTTCTTACAAAAAATAAGGAGGTGTAAACTCTGTGACTGTAATTCTTTTGAGAGATGTGAAAGAAATGTTTTCTGAAAAGAAATCAGAACAACCTACATAGAAGAAAAGTAAATCAATATAATAATAATTATACCAGATATAGGAGGGGTTTACAAGTGGTCCTTGAAGTTATAGATTATCTCTTAATTCTGCTTTCCAGGAAAAAAACAAGCTTATCTTTATCATCAGTTTCTAATGACTATAATCCATTTCCATGAACTGTTTACCTGCCTACTAATACAGTTTGAAGGCATGTCCTCATCCATATCTCATGTTAAATTCCCAATGGTAGAGGTGGGGCTTGGTGGGAGGTGTTTGGATCATGGGGGTGGATGCCTTGTAGCTTGGTGCTATCCTCACGATAGTGAGTTTCCATGTAAGGTCTGGTTGTTTAAAAGTACGGGACACCTTTCCCCATCCCCAGGTTGACTCTTGCTCCTGCTGTTACCATGTGATGTGTCTACCCCTCCCCACTACCCCTCACTTTCTGCCATAATGGTACACTTCCCGAGGCCATCCCAGAAGCCAAGCAGTTGCCAGCACCAGGCTTCCTGTAAAGATTGTAGAACCATAAACAATTAAGCTCCATTTCTTTGCAAATTACCCTATCAGAGGCATTTATTTAAAGCAATGTCAAAATTGCTTAATACACATAATTTATTTGTAGTTTAAGGGATATAGGCCTATGTCATGCACTGTCCTAGGGAGAAGACATGGGTAGTCTTAGGACTTAGACTGGCTTGTAGGATTGGGGTAAGACATATAATTCTGATCTTTTTTTCAACAGTAAGAAGAAAGATGTGAAGAACACATCTATAGAAAATTTTCTGTAGATTCCAGAATCTATCAGCCTGACTACGGAGGAGTTTCCCTTCCTTAAATACAGACACCAAAACAAAGTTGTAAGAAACATTAAAAAGTAGAAAGATATGAATCTTCTGATGAAACAAAATAAATCTTCAAAATTAATCATGAAAAAATTGATACCTATTAATTTATGGCAGAAAATTCTAAATAATCATCTTATAAACATCAGTAAGCCACAAATGAACAGCATAAATAGAACTAAATGAATTCAGGAAAACAATACATGAAGGAAATGAGATATCAAAACCCACCCATGCAGATATGCACTAAGCAAAGCTGTGTGAGGAGTTTCTGTGGGTTCAGGGGAAGCTGCAGTATGGGGATGGAACACGCAGACTGGTGCACAGTCATAGGGGCTGCCTCACTGGAGCTCTCAATTGCTGAGCGTGGTCCTCTGGTGCAGCAGCTGTGGTGTGGGCCACCAGGGCACCCGACACTACCCTGTAAGTAGGCATGCATGGAAAGGCTGGGGCCCCAGGAGAGGGTAGAAGATCAAGGAGTGCTCAAATCAGACCGGCCATGTCTGATGTGCAGAAACAACATGCAGGAATCAGGTCTGACTGTTACCCAAAGGCTAGGGTTTCTTATTCATGAAATTTGAACTTAGAAAGACCGCCATTCCTGGCCACACTGTGCTACAAATTCTCCTGCACCCACCCCTCTAGGCTCCACATCAGTTGGCTTCCTGCTTTGCTACTTTGTTTGCTCCTGTGGCTTCATTTCTGAGAGATGCAAGTCAGCGGTGGCCAAGTGTCTTTGCTCCTTTGTCTGGCCAAGGGAGGTGAGGAAACTTCCATTGCAGAGGCTGTGGCAGAGAGGCTTTCTGTTGCCCCAGGGGCTCTCTCCAGAGAGGAGCCAAGTTGGTACTAGCTAGATAGCTTGGGCAGGGAATGGCTAGAGACCCAGGCCAGAAAGATCTTCCTGAGGAGTTTATGTGGAAATAGGCACCTATATTTCACTGTAATCACTTTTCTGTGGGGCTGCTGTGGTATGCTGAGGCCTACTCCAGTCACTAGTCACCTCAGATTTTCTAGTACCTGGAGGTATCATCAGTGAAGGCTGAGAAACGGCAAGAATGGCAGCCTAGGCTTCTCTCTGGTAGCTCCATCCCAGGGAGGTATGGACCTGTTTCTGGCACAAACACACCTCTAAGAGGTGGCTGGAGACCCCAGTTGGGAGATAAGAACCCTTGTCAGAAGGAATGGTATCAGGTACCTGCTTCAGGTAGTCTAACCACATTTTCTTTAAGCAGCTGTGCTGTGCTGGGGGTACACTTCAGCCTTTGGTTGCCTTGGACACTCCAAAGCTAGAAGGCTGAAATGGCTAAGTTGCCCAAACAGCAAAGATGTCAGCCTGCCCCGCCCCCTGGGATCCCTTTACCAGGAAGGGCCTGGAACCTCTGTCAACTGAAGAACACCAGTGGTGTTAGCCAGAGATCCCAGTTGGAAGGCTCCACCCAGTGATGAGGATGGGGGTCAGGGACTCAATTAGAAAGGCAGTCTGGCCACATTTTTATATGGCTGCTGTGCTGTCCTGGTGTATCATTTTTACTCCAGTCAGCTTGGACTCTTCAAAGCTTGCAGACTGGAGTCGATAAGTCACTCAAATAGCAAAGATGCTGGTCCATACCTCTTTCTGGGAGCTCTGTCACAGGGAGTTTTCAAATTTCTGTGGGCCTGAGAACAGTGGTGGGAGTGACTGGAGTCCCAGTGAGGTGGAACAGGATCTGGTACCTGCTTAAAGAAGCCGTCTGGCAATGTTTTTGTAGAGCAGACATGCAGCAACTGGTGGATTCCTTCCACCACCAATACATTTGAACTCTCCAAAGCTCAAAGGGCAGAACAGCTAAGCTGTCCAAATAGCAAAATTGGCAGCCTGCCCTGCACACCATGCCTCAGTTGATAGTGATGTATGGTGTATAGATTACATGTGAACAAAGTATACAAAAAATTATTTGATCCACATTTTGTTATTTGATCTTTAGTTCTGTGTCAAACAGAATGCAGAAACATGAACCTCCCATGACTAAGGTTCTGGAAACTTTTAAAATATATTACAAAAGACAAGTCATGTGTCCATACAAGAACATTGATATTGCTGAAAGATGGCACTTATAAACATAAAAGGGACATCAAACACACTTGCATAAACAGGTCATCTACCTTCATTTATCTCCTTGCCATCTACATGCTCAGACTGTTAATCTGATGATAATGTATTTACCTTGAAGTGTAAGTTACATTTTAACTTCTTGATTGATTTATCCACGAATATAACCACAGGAAACGACAGAAAGAAACAGCAAATTGAAAGAAAAGCATTGCATTGCACCAGAATGTCTGTGAAATGTACTTCAGTGTTTCTGCTCATACAACTGAGCTGTTACATTAACTCTGGGAACTGCGGAAAAGTGCTGGTGTGGCCCACAGAATTCAGCCTTTGGATGAATATGAGGACAATCCTGGATGAGCTTGTCAACAGAGGTCATGAGGTGACTGTGCTGGCATCTTCAGCTTCCATTGTTTTTGATCCCAACAGCCAATCTACTCTTAAACTTGAAGTCTATCCTACATCTTTAACGAAAACTGAGTTTAAGGATATCATCCTGAAGCTGGTCAACAGATGGTTAGACCTTCCTAAAGACACATTCTGGTCATACTTTTCACAAGTACAAGAAATCATGTGGACATTTGGTGACATATATATAAATTTCTGCAAGGATTTAGTTTCAAATAAGAAACTTATGGAAAAACTACAGGAGTCAAAATTTGATGTTGTTTTTGCAGATGCTATTATTCCCGGTGGTGAGCTGCTGGCTGAGCTACTCAACATACCCTTTGTGTACAGTTTCCGCTTCTCTCCTGGCTACTTTATTGAAAAGCATAGTGGAGGATTTCCATTTCCTCCTTCCTATGCACCTGTTGTTATGTCAGAATTAAATGATCGAATGACTTTCATGGAGAGGGTAAAAAATATGATCTATGTGCTTTATTTTCAATTTTGGTTCCAAATATTTAATATGAAGAAATGGGACCAGTTTTACAGTGAAGTTCTAGGTAAGTAATTTTTTCAGTGGGCATGATGGAGATCTAATTTTCTTGTGCCTTTGAAACTGTTTCCTGTGCCTTTGAAGCTGAACTTATATAAAACAATAAAGTCAGGGTAGTGAGTTTGGTTTTGATTTTTTTTTTTTTTTTTTTGGAGTCTTGCTCTGTCTCCCGGGGTGCCAGCTTGGAGTGCTGGAGTGCAGTGACACTAGCTTGGCTCCCTGCTGGGATTATAGGTACGTGTCACCATGCTTGGCTGATTTTTTTGTATTTTATTAGAGACAGGGTTTCACCATGTTGGCCAGTCTGGTCTTGGACTCCAGACCTCAGGTGATCCACCTGCCTCGGTCTCCCAAAAAGTCTAGGATTATAGGTATGAGCCAGCACTCCTGGTTTGTAGTAGAGGTTTTTGTAAGTGAATTTATGAAATGAAAACACAATATGATCTATGAATCACACAAATATTATATAAAAGTTTAAATTATAAGATCATTCAATACCCTGTGGCCATTGCTCATACTGAACACGCTAGGAAGCCATAAACCAGTATATTAGTGCACCTAATATTTCTTTAAACAATCACACATCTCTTTTAGTATACATTTTTTCATCCTAAAAAAAGGCCCATCAACAAACATCTTGCTAAATGCATACATGTAGGTTGAGTAGTCACACATTTTTCTACAAGTCTCTATGTAAGACTACAGATATTTTTTCTTGTATACCTCAGTTTCCTTATTCTGGAATTAAAATATGTCCTCATGTTACCAGGTTTCCTTCACAGGTGAGTGAAATAGTGTCTCCATCTCAAATGCAAAAACAAATAAGGAATTTGTAGTTTCTAATGTCTCTACATTCCTTTACTAAATGATTGGAAATCATTCTTTTTAAGGCAATCATGTTTTTGAAGTCTGAACATTGTTATATCTGTATCTTTTTTTTGAAACTATGTCTATTTATTAAAAAATATGAGCCAAATAAATTTGAGTACAAATCTCTATTTCAATAATTTCTCAACATTTTCTAGCTGTAATTTACAAATGTTTTTACTTAAAAGCTAATATTACTAATACCTTAGGGTGAATCAAAAGCAGTGTTGGGTACAAGTATTTCAGCCATACTCTCAAAACAGCCCACAGTTCACTTGAGTAACTAAAGATGAAAAGATTAGCTTCATGAGTTGTGGAAACTAGACTATTTCTTTGAAAATTGTTTCATAGGTAAAGCAGAATTATTTGATCATGTGGCTCAAAGAGTTGTTTAAGTATTTATATGCTACTATTTTGAAGCTTTAAAGGGTAAAGAAATGGATGTTTAATTCTCTAGGGATTATTTTAATAATTGTTTATGCTTGTGAGTATAATGATGCGGCATTCACGATGTCATTTATCCTCAAAATTATCTTATCACTTTGATTTTCTTATAAATACACATGGGCAAAATATATAATTCATCAAAATTAAATTATGTCTATATTTGAATATATGTTTATGTATTTCAAAGCACAGATACTTTGCCTACATTGTTTCCATCCATTTCAGAAAACTACCAAGTGTCATTATCTTGTGTCATCTACCTTTTCTGTTCTTTATTCTTGTCAGGAAGACCCACTACCTTATCTGAGACAAAGGGGAAAGCTGACATATGGCTTATTCGAAACTCCTGGAATTTTCAATTTCCTCATCCACTCTTACCAAATGTTGATTTTGTTGGAGGACTCCACTGCAAACCTGCCAAACCCTTACCTAAGGTAAAGAAAAAATATTTTTTAAAATTTTGATTTGTTTGCTTTGAATTTTTGGTAGGAATGATCCTATAGTCTTCATTCCAAGTGATTGACTCACAGTGAAAGAAAGATGGGAAGTGGGCAGGGTGAAGCGGATACCAATTAGAAACTCATGTACATGTCCATTTGTTGATACCATCGCAATTATGTGAGTTTAATCATTACTAAAGATAGAGAAGGAACTAAGGAGACTTTAAAAATAGGGTTGGTTAAATTAAAGCCTTGATTATGCAACACATAAGCATGTAAGAAGGTATTGGTCATTCATTGAAGGAATATTTATCAAAGGTTTAGCACAGACCCCAGGCAACAAAAAAAATAATAGACACAATTTCTGTTTCCACACACATTACATTCTACTTCAAAAGATATGTATATGTGCAAGTAACAAAAACTATGCAAAGCTATTATTTTGAGGAAAAACCCAATGCCAAGAAAATATCAGTGAGATAACAGAAAGTATTCTGAAATAACTGATAATTAAGATGGGAGCTGAACAATGGGAAAGGCTGAGTGAGAATCAGGTGATACTGAGAGTCAAGTTAGAACCAGATACTTATTAGGAGTTAAAATATTTATTAAGCACCTTTGGAAACTGCTAAAAAAAAGTTAAGAAATGTTGATATGTGATAAGATAATTTTGTTTTTAAAGAAAGGAGACAAATTGGGAAATTTTGCATGGAATCTGGTAGCAGATGAGGGAAAAATAAGCTACAGTGTTGACAGAAATAATTTTGCCATCATTTACACTAATAGTACCCACTTCATATTGTGTTGTGTGGAAAAAAGGTTAACATAGAAAAAAACACTTAAAATGTCTCTGTTATATAGTCAGTGATTTAGAAATAGTATTAATTTTGCAATTATGGTTATTTTATTATGATTACTAATACTACTGATTACTTAACCTATACAAGCCATTTGAGATAACATTCTCCATTTAGCAGAACCAGAACCAGATTGTTCAGCACATCAAGATTACATTCTCTTGCAAAGTCATAGGTAGCAGATATCCTGTGGACCTGAGTAAAAGTAGATATGCTAGTTTTGCCAGTAGGAAGAGCAAGTTGAATTTCTAAAATTCAACTCTAAGTGATGAGGATCTTAAGTACTGTGACTTAAAATAAAATAATTACTTAACAACACAAATGTGTAACCCTAATAATAGTTGCAGCCAAACTTAGTGTTCATCTGATTTTACTCAAGGATGTAACTCATTGTACACTGAGATCCCAGAGGTTTACATCTTAGAACAGAAACACACCCTATTAGAGCAGGTGTTTTTAGCCTTATGACAAGCAAATCAGTAAAGTTGCCTGGGGGAACTTGTGTCTAGACACCATCTGCCTACAGAGAAGCAGTGAGAAAATGAATGACATACTTATAATAAGGACCAAATAATTTCTATCAATTGTATCTGAATAGTAAACTTACTTTACAATAACAAAAGAATTCTGTCTGCATACCAGTAGAAGATGATATATTTTATAAAGGAACACAAGAATCTCATATATTTTAAATTAATATTATACTTTTAAGACATTTGTAGAAAGTGAGTATTCTTTAATACATTACTAAGTAATCTCCTAAGATCTTTGTCTACATAAAACTGAGAATTTATTCCATGGTTAAAATCCAATATCTATGTTGCATGCAAATTGTATTGCTTTATATAACTTTCCAAAGAGACAAAAGCTGAGGTAAGATTAATTAAATTTTTATGCCACCCTGTTCTGCTATTGAAAGATTTCCCTATTCACATTAAGGGAAAGTGATAGTGACAGTAGGAGGGGGAAGACAGTAGGAGGCATAGAAAGACAAGAAAAGGATGACTTCTCTTTACAATACAATCGTGATAATTACTAATACTAGCTGTTGTTATTAATTTGCAGAAAGATTTCAATGTTAGTCAATGGTTATAAGATCATTTCTTTAGTTGTTTATTACATAAAATAATTGTTAACCCAAGTTGCCTTATTTTAATTAAATATTAGATTCTCAGATAATTTATGTATATTTCAAAACAAAAAGACACTAGGCAAAAGGTATCAAGTGTTTAAAGATGCACATAGCCATTGGTTTCATAATATATTCACATGAAATCATACAGAGAAAAAATAATTCAAGATGTATGTACTTAATATTTATGGAAAATATTTGTAAAATTGACATTGGAAGTAACTCAACATCTTAAATTAAGCAATGATTAAAAACATATACTATGTGCATACTATAGCATTATAATAATTTTAGTAATCAAATGTTAACTTACACTGTCAGCCATAATACAAGTAAAGTGAGGTAGAAAATTATACATATAACAAGATGATAAATTTTTCATAGGAAGAAAAGGTATATACAATAAGGTTAAAAATTTTTAAATAAATGTTACGTGCACACGAGTAAATAGAACAAAAGCCATGATGGGAACATACACAATTTACATTCAGAATATCTCTAAATAGAAATTTTAGAAAAATGTTCTTTTCTTTTTAAAACTTTCATACGTTTATCAAATTACTTACATTGATTTTGTATTATTTTTATGACGTTCTCACAGAATGGTAAACAAGCAGCCCACATCAGTGATGAATCAGTAAACAGAGGTTAGATTACTTCAACACTGGGTGGATAAAGAAGGCTCTGGGCATCAAGCCAGTGAGAGCAAACACTGAACATGAGTTACATTAAATGTGGCAACAGGTAACTGCAATTACACAAAATGCCTAGATTCCCCATGTACTACCTATAATAGTAGTACAATGGCTCTCACATTAACACTGATGTCAGAAGATTAAAAACCGTATTTTTAAAAATACACAGCAACATATGGTCTTCACAGTCAATATTTGGATTTTTTTCTTTGTTTTATAAACAACAGTTAAAAAAAGTTTTACCCTAATGATTAAATCTGAAAGTATATAAATTTAAAAATTGGCACAGATTGGAGTAAGCAAATCAGAATAATTATCAATCAATTTTGGCCAAGCACATCTTCACCAGGAGTTTATGTAGTGTGAGTGAGCTACTCATGAGGGTGACCAGATCTCCCACGTGGGAAGGCCTGGTGGCCTCTTCTATCATGGTGCATATGCTGCCTCTGAGACACAGCAAAGTAATGATGAGAGTTCCTCATATGCAGTTATAAGTAGCACATCAATTTAACAGTGTGATTTCAGGGCAATAGGGGTTTCACCTAAACAATAACCTGAGAAATACAATCATACAACTATCTAACTATATACTATACAATTCTGTGTTACAAATGAGACTCTCAGGAGTAATTCAAAGAAATTTCAAATCAAATTTTATGGGAGAGAGATCCAAGAAGGTTGATAGAAGCTCGGGATTGTGGCTCCCAGTGAAAGCGCAGAAAACGAGAGGACACCACACTTTTAGACGAATTTTTATTGCTCACAGACCAGGAGATTCCCAGTGGAGGAGCCCCACGGGTCACCACCATGGCTTTTGTGGCCGGCACAGTGGTTTTGCCGGCACCTTGGCATGGCGGTTCTTGGTGCAGAGTAAACGGGACTGGTTCCCCTTTTGGCCAATGTTTAGAGCTCCGGGAAGGCAGAGTTGCCTATTAATGAAGGCAAACCAGAGATTTCTGGGCAGAAAAGAACCATCAATCTTAACACTGCTGTTTTAGCCGGTGCAGTGGGTTGCTCAGATTCTGACTCTGGGAATCAATAAATTGGAAATCCACTCAGAAACCTAATTAGATGGTGATAATTACAAAGAAGACAGATAGATAAATTTATAATGAAGGGAAGAAACCAGCCTAAAAAGGCTGAGAATACCCAGAATCAGAACGCCTCTCCCTCTACAGGGGATTACAGTTCCTCATCAGCAAGAGAACAATGTCTGATGGAGAATGACTGTGTTCCATTAACAGAAATAGGCTTCAAAAGGTGGATGATGAGAAACTTCTGGGAGTTAGAAGAACTTGTTTTAACCCAGTGCAAAGAAACTAAGAACTTTGAAAAAAGGTTTGATGAAATGCTAATAAGAATAGACAATATAGAGAGAAATATAAGTGAATTAACAGAGTTGAAAAACACAACACGAGAACTTCACAAAGTATGCACAAGTTTTAAGAGCCGAATTGATCAAGCAGAAGAAAGGATATCAGAGGTTGAAGACCAACTTAATGAAATAAAATGAGAAGATAAGAATAGAGAAAAAAGGATAAAAAGGAATGAACAAAGTCTCCAAGAAATATGGGACTATGTGAAAAGACCTAATCTGCGTTTGATAGGTGTACCTGAATGCAACAAAGAGAATGAATCCAAGCTGGAAAATACTCTTCAGGATATTATTCAGGAAAACTTTCCCAACCTAGCAAGGCAGGACAATATTCAACTCCAGGTAATACAGAGAACACCACAAAGATATTCCTCAAGAAGAGCAACCCCAAGGCACATAATCATTAGATTCACCAGGGTTGAAATGAAGGGGAAAATACTAAGGGCAGCCAGAGAGAAAGGTCAGGTTACCCACAATGGGAAGCCTATCAGACTCACAGGAGATCTCTCAGCAGAAACCCTACAGGCCCGAAAAGAGTGGGGGCCAATATTTAACAACCTTAAAGAAAAGAACTTTCAGCCCAGGATTTCATATCCAGCCAAACTAAGCTTCACAAGCGAAGGAAAAATAAAATCTTTTGTGAACAAGCAAGTTCTCAGAGATTTCATTACCACCAGGCCTGCTTTACAAGAGCTTCTAAAAAAAGCACTACATATAGAAAGGAACAACCAGTATTAGCCTTTCTAAAAATATACCAAAAAGTAAAGAGCATCAACATGATGAAGCATTTACATCAACTAATGAGCAAAATAGCCAGCTAACATCAAATGTTAGTAACCCTTAATTTAAATTGACTAAATCCCCTAATCAAAAGATACAGCCAAAACCCATTGGTATGTTGCATCCAAACCCATCTTACATGCAAAGATAGATAAAGACTCAAAACAAAGGGATGGAGAAAGATTTGCCAACCAAATGGAGAGTAAAAATAAATAAATAAATAAAAAGAAGAGGTTGCAATTCTCACCTCTGATGGAATGGATTTTAATGCAACAAAGATCAAAACAGGACATGATGATAAAAGGATCAATGCAACAAGAAGAGCTGATGATCCTGGATGTGTACGCACCCAATACACAATACATAAGACTTGTAAAGAGACTTGGACTCCCACACAGTAGTAGTGGGAGATTTCAACATCAATATTAGATAGATCAACGGGACAAAATATTAATAAGGGTATCAAAGACGTGAACTCAGATCTGGAACAAGTAAACTTAATAAACATTTATACAACTCTCCACTTTAAACACACAAGATATGCACTCTTATCAGTACCACATCACACCTACTCACAAGTTTAAATGAAATATTGGTTGGCCATTATTAAGCACAATTGATGGTATAAGGGAGGTTTTCAATACTCATTTTTAGACTGTATTCTAGCCTGGGCAATTAAGTAACACTCCCATTCTCTCTCCCTCTTCCTTTTTTTCCTCTTCTTCATTCATTTTTTTATCTTTCTTTCTTTCTCTCTTAAAAAATAAAAAAAGAAATTTCAAATCAAAACCTGACTCCAGAATGTCAGTGATTCTTAACCATCACCTTTTATAATTTTTTTTTTACTTATTTCAAAAAAGACTGGAAAACTCTGACAAAATTTAAGTGAAGTGTAAAGGATTATAGAGTAAGATAAATGTAGATATAAAATCATCCCAACTGTGAGTAACTTTTCTGTAGAAAACCTGCCTGAAAAAAAATATGTGATTTAGCATAATGACAATATAGAATTAAAGGCAAGTGGTACCACCTTTCAAGACCTATATTAGTAACTATAATATTGTAAGTGAAGAGTCTGGGTATAATACTTCTAACATTATCTTCTAGACCACTATGTAATAGCTCCATTTCATTTCTCTCCTGCACACACACACATTTTCACAAATAATTTTAGTAGAGGCCACCCATCTCATAGTATACATCTTCTTGATGAGAAACTGAATGATTGAATCAGTTAAAAGCTAAAATTTACTCCAATAATAACTAATAATATTTGCTTTTCTCTCTTTAGTTATTTGTACCAAACCTTTCAGTGGTGCTTGCTGAGCTGATACTCTTTTGTGATGGAACAAATTCTTTTTTTTCACAGGAAATGGAAGAGTTTGTCCAGAGCTCTGGAGAAAATGGTATTGTGGTGTTTTCTCTGGGGTCACTCATCAGTAACATGACAGAAGAAAGGGCCAATGTAATTGCATCAGCCCTTGCCAAGATCCCACAAAAGGTTAGATCAACTGCTTTAGTGGTTTGGAAAACTACTGAAAGAGGTTGTCAAAATCTATAAATAATCCAATTACAGAAATTTCCTGCCTAGAAATTTAGTGTTGGGATAGCACTAATTATCAGATATTAGTTCAAAATCAGAAATACACATGGAAGATGCTAAAATAATACAGAAGCTATTTTATGGATAACAGGAATATATATATATTTAAGAAGTGTAGGAAAAGTTTTGGTATTACCATGATGTTGGGGCCAGGTAAGAGATACCACCAAATTCTTCCCCTGTCATTTGATACTTATGTTTAAGGATTCCTGTGGGCATTGTACACACTACAGATGTTATCAGAAGAAGTTACATTTAAAGGGGTGACTTCACTAGCACAGTAATAATAGCAGGTATTTCAAAATGTGTAACATGCATCATGCAATTTAGGCTTGCCACATAATCCAGCCTCATATACTTCATGCACATTTTGGAATACACACAACTGTATGATGTTCAGGTTACTATTCAGAGAAAGGACGACCTAGGCTGACATACAACTAGTCCACATTCCCACCCAGTCAGATAGATTTAGAGAAAGAGAAAAAGCAGCCTCCCTTGCTGGACTGAGCCCAGCCAATGTCTGAAGCAGGAAGATGAAAGAGAAAGAGTGGAGATGGATCCTGTTCTGAAGGTGGATCCTGTGCTGTATAAAATGTGGCCCCACAAGGACTCTGTACTATCAGGTTAACAACTTGTCCCAGTGGAAGCAGCAGAAGGAAATATAGGAAGGAGTCAAACAGAAGGAAGCCAGGCAGGGGAAAATAGATGCCCCCTCTGTAAACATAGTAGAAACATACTTTCTTCTGTGTAGAATTTACCTGGGTGTCTTGGTCAATTACTTTTTAGTTCCTTATCTAATATAGTCTTCTTGTAATAAACTATACTAATGTTTTTGCTGAAAATTCAGTTACTTTAATACTGACAAAACAAATAAAAGTTAAATACTCTAAGTTATTGTTCAGTTCATAAGAATTGCTTGGGAGTTCTAAAATTAGTAACTGAAATATAAAAACGTCTTTGCTACAGCAGAACATATTAATCACTGTTGTCGAGCTTTGTAGCACATTGTCTAAGTGTTTACAATCGATTGACCAAATTCAGCAAAATACAAGTTTGAATTGATTCAAAAGCTGTCTCTTTATTTATGATACCAACAGGTTCCTCATTTCAATACTGAAAAAACATCTAAAAAAACATATTCTTCTGAGTTTTCACACTTACATAAAATTAAATTGGGTGACAGATGTTTCACCCACCAAATCCTTTTGGCTTGAATGGATTGGTGAAGTATCAGAAACATTTTTTTAAAAATATATTGTGTAACTAGAATACTATTAACACTTCATTTACTATAAATATATCAATATGTGGTAAATTGTTGAGACAGTATCTGTTGGTGTTTACCCTATATTCCTCTGTACCCCAATCTCCCAAGCAGGTACTTAGGTCCTTTACCTTTCCTCCCCTCATTTATTTTCCTAGGAATCCTGCTTGGAGTCCTGTAGGGGAGAGTTCAACCTCTGAAAGTAAAAAGAGGTTTTCTAAGGATACCAATTAAACTGAATCTCCAGAAAGCATTTTCAAAGTGGGAGGAAAAGAATGAATAAAATGAATGCATAATCTCTGCCATGATGGGCATTTGTTATCTAAAGTAATCCTTTCAAAATGCTTTCAAGTATTCATTATAACCTCATCTTTTAGAGAAAATAAAAATAGAGCAAGAACATATTTTCTTCCTGAATTAGTTGAATGAAAGTTGTCAGATCTTGAGTAGCAGAGCAATATTCTGTGGAGTGGAGTTAGAGAGCATATGCCTAAGAATGGAGGGTGGTGGCTGTGCACCACAGATTCAGTGCTTGGGATGTGTCACAGGAGCAGTGCTCAGCTTCCATGGCCCATATGACTGGGGGCAACAAATGCCATTCATCTGTGACATTTAGGAGACACAGGAACAAATTTGTGTTTGATACTTTCATCTCTCTCATTCTTCCCATTGATTCCTAATCTGCTTTAAAATCTAAGGTTGGGGCCGGGCGCAGTGGCTCATGCTTGTAATCCCAACCTTTTGGGAGGCTGAGGTGGGTGGATCACCAGGTCAGCAGTTTGAGACCAGCCTGGTCAACATGGTGAAACCCCATCTCTACTAAAAATACAAAAATTAGCTGGACCGTGGTGGCGCATGCCTGTAATTCCAGCTACTCAGGAGGCTGAGGCAGGAGAATCACTCAAACCAGGGAGGCAGAGGTTGCAGTGAGCCGAGATTGTGCCATTGCACTCCAGCCTGGGTGACAGAGCGGGACTCATCTCAAAAAAAAAAAAAAAAATCCAAGGTTGGTAGAGTTTCTCTCTTGAGCCAACACTGTTTTGCCTGTTCCTTCTTGACCTTGGATCATTTTTAGATGTTTTTCAGGCCTTCTATAACCACATGCTACTGTATCACTCATTTTTCCTGGGATGCTCCATGCAGTTCTTTTGCCCTATTGAAACCTGCTGCTCCTCAATCCCCTCTGCTGAGCATACAATTTTTCTAGGAACTATCTACAATAGAGTCTATTTATTTATGCCTGGTTTGCAGGGCTTGTAGCTCCCTGTTGATTTTCTGAAACATTACTTCTGCATTTTCCAGTAAAAACCGACATTCTGCTTTGAGACTTAACTCCTGACATCCATCTCTATCCTTCTGTGGCATATTAATCCATCACTTGTTTTTGTCAAGAACTTTGGCACCTGGATCTCAGTTTTACTTGTCACTCCAAGTGCTGTCATCTCTAACCATTCTGTTGACTCTCACAGCTCTGAATGTTTAGTTTTTAGCCCTTTTATACGCCAGAAAAAAAAGACTCAGGAAAAATAGAAAAACAATAGCTCTTCATGGAAAGAAAAAATTAAATAACAAATGGGTGCCCCCAAAATGCAAGAGTCATGTGAATATACATTTAAAACAAATAATTCAAACTAATTTTTCCTCCTGAGTTGAAGGATTTATATCTCCAAGAGTCTAGTTCCATGTCTGGGAATTGAATCCAAGCTGCGGTGCCTGCCAAATCCTAGCTATTGGACTATAGGCTGGAGTGCATTTTTGCAAACCTCACAGGGGATCCAAGGCAGGCAGTTTGAATGTACAAAGGTTTTTAACTTAAAAAAAAAAATCTTATTTCTTAAAAAATATTTTTCTGCCTTTTTATAAAAATCTCACCAAGGGAGTTTCTAAGGCTATATTTTTTGTGTATTTTTTATATGTATAAGATAGCTGTTTAAGAAAAGAGCTCCCTAAAACATGTTAAAAAATATAGCGAATTTATTTATTTTATTAGCAATTCAAGCCAAATAAGGCTTCTGCATGGAAAGTCCCAAAGATAAATTTCCAGGTTTAGAATACTATGGACGTAAGTGGCATTTTAAAAATGGGCACAGAAGATGCAATCTTCCCTTCCAGGATCTCCCCACAAATTCACTTTCAGAAATAGGCTGAAATAGCGAAGTTCCAATTGCCACAGACCATTAAGGATGAGGTTTTTGTGTTTAGTGTCTTCAATATCCCAGTAAGAGACCTGTTCATCTGTGGCACTGAGTAGGCCCTCCTGGGATTGAACTTTTCCAGGACTAACTAGGCAGGAAGCTTGGTTGAGACAATGAAAGCTCCTTGTGGATGGGACTTCTTTTTAAAATTTTTTTTTTAATTTTTAATTAATTAATGTATTGTAGATATAGGGTCTTGCTCTGTCACCCCGGCTGGAGTGCAGTGGTGCACTCACAGCTCACTGTAACCTCACACTCCTGGGCTCAATAGATCCTCCCACGTCAGGCTCCCTAGGAGTTAGGACTACAGGTGCATATCACCATGCCCTGGCTAATTAAAACATTTTTTTTTTTTTAGAGATAGGATCTCCCTTTGTTGCCCAGGCTTTTCTTGAAATCCTGGCCTCAAGCAGTCCTCCTACTTAGGCCTCCCAAAATGCTGGGATTACCTGCGTGAGCCACTGCATCCAGCCAGACTTCTTGTGAAGACAAACTCTCCCAAGAACTTGGGATATATGAGCAAACTGTGCTGCTTAGTATGTGATGTGTCTCAGTCCTTTCAGACTGGCCACCAGATGTGATCCAAAAATACTCTGTCTGTATGGTGGAGACCTGGAAAGAGTGCTCCAACTACATCACTAGTGAAGCTCTTGAAGACATTAAACAAGATGAGAGAATCTTTACGACAAATACATCTAAAATTAGCAATATTGATAATACTCTTAATTTGTCTCAAAAATTGTTTCTTGAAATTTTCCTGGAAGTAGTGTTGATAATTCATAATTTCAAAGAAGTTATACATGCTACCTTTGTAGCATTAACTCATTTCTTACAAGTAGTTTATTTTATCAACTTGCTTTTTTGTCAATCAAGGACACCAAACTCTAATATAATTACTTATAGACAAGTAAAATGCATGAACTACTTATATTACTAAAAAATGAAGACATTAATATTTGATTTGGAAGATAAAAATTAGTATAATATACATCAAACAAAATGAACATATAGGTCATTACTAAATTGTTACTGCTTTTCACTAGCATTATAATAACTACTTGAATTTTTTTCATACTTAGAATTTTTATGTGTTTAAAATTAAATTAATTTTGTTTCTTAACTTTTATTTTAACTTCAGGGGTATATATGCAGCTTTGTTACATAGGTAAACTTGTGTCAAGGGGGTTTATTTTACAGATTGTTTCATCACCCAGGAATTAAGTCTGTACCCATTAGTTATTTTACCTGATCTTCTTTCCCCTCCCACCCATCGCCCTCCAATAAGCCCCAGTGTTTGTTGTTCCCCCCATGTTTCCATGTGTTCTCATCTTTTAGCTTCTACTTAATAGTGAGAACATGTAGTATTTGGATTTCTGTTTCCATGCTAGTTTGCTAAGTATAACAGCCTCCAGCTTCATCTATGTCCCTACAAATACAAAGTCTTGTTCTTTTTTAGGGTAGCATAATATTCCATGGTGTATATATACTCCATTTTTTTAAATTTAGTCAATCATTGATGGACATTAAGATTGATTCCATGTTTTTACTATTGTGAATACTACTGCTATGAATATACATATGCCTTTATAAGAGAGTCATTCATCATCCTTTGGGTATATCCCCAGTAATGGGATTGCTGGGTTGAACTGTATTTTAGCCTCTTGGTTTTAGAGAAAGTGTCACGCTGACTTCCATAATGGGTGAATCACTTTAAACTCCCACTAACAGAGTATAAGCGTTCCTTTTTCTACACAGTCTTGTCAGCATCGATTACTTTTTGAGTTTAATAAATAGCCATTATGACTGGTATGAGATGGTATCTATGTGGTTTGATTTGCATTTCTCTAATGAGCAGTGATATTAAGTGTTTTTTCGTATGATGGTTGGCTGCATCGAGGTCTTCTTTTTAAAAGAGTAACAGTTTTTTAAATATTTGAACTTTTCATTGATATCTCATTTTTCTAAGCTATTATTTTGGAAAATCCTGGTTTCCTTATATACTTAACTAATTATAAAAGTTAAGAAAATGAAATGTAAGTACTCTATTTACATCAGTCTTGGAGTAGTCTTTATTATCTAACATCCCTTGATCTCATTCTTAATCTCTTTAGAGTTCTAACATTCTGTAACTTTGGAATTTCACTCATGGAATAAGATGTTTTCTTTACTGTAACAGGTTCTGTGGAGATTTGATGGGAAAAAACCTCAGGCCTTAGGACACAATACTCGGGTGTACAAGTGGATACCTCAGAATGACCTTCTTGGTATGACTATGGAGTACAAATACTGAATATATTAGTAATAGCCAATTAGAGTGTTAATAATTCATCATGAAATAAGACTATTTGTTATGGAAAAGCTTAAAAAAACAATGGAACTTCTTTATGTTTATTCCAGTCCTATAGGAATAATAATAAGCAGTAATTGTCAGCATTTTATGACATATGCTCACATTCTTTATGGTCGGAATCAGAGTATCTTTACTTCAGGTGTTATTACGTCTTACAGAATTTTTTAATAACTTCATGTGTTGTCCCTTTGTCTCCTATTTCTATAACTTTACACGTGTTCTTTCTTTTTATGCAGGGTTATTTATAATGTCACTAAAATAACAGCTCCTCTGCTATCATCAGGGGCTCTGCATTTGCTGAAGAATTAAATTCCTAATCTTAATCACAAAGTGATGACACATTTCATGATGAAGAGTAACTTGTCCTTCCTCAATCCTGACATCACCATCACCCAACTGCCTGCTGCCTTACACATGTCATATCACATTCTGTGACTGCACTTAAGAGAACACATTCTTACATGTCCATCACTTTTTGGGGGGGGTTTCTTTTCTACATATTTTATTTCTTTTATTTAGATTGTAATTTTTCTTTTGTCCAACTGGTGGGCTTGTATTAATTTTTTTCAGTCTGAAGTCACACACACTGTATACTTTCACTTACATCTACGGCCAAATTAGGTGCTCCTTCCTCTGAAACACAATTTTAATTTAGTTCAATGTTTTAGCTAGAAATCACTGGCACTTTTAGAGTCTTTAGTTGTGGATTTCTCATTTTATTCCTATGAATAATTTTGCTCAAATTAATTTAATCCTAGGTCATCCAAAAACCAGGGCTTTTATAACTCATGGTGGAGCCAGTGGCATCTACGAGGCGATCTACCATGGGATCCCTATGGTGGGCATTCCAATGTTTGCGGATCAACCTGATAACATTGCTAACATGAAGGTCAAGGGTGCAGCTATTGGATTGGACTTCGATACAATGTCAAGTACAGACTTGCTGAATGCACTGAAGACTGTAATTAATGATCCTATGTGAGTATAATAATAATTTTTACTAGGTGGTATTTATAGACAGCTTATCTTGTAAGTACTAAGTATGAGATTCATCTTTTTTGCAAGAGACTAATTTTGAAAGAATTTAAATGATGTAGCCAATCTGAAATCTTCTTTGATTTTTGAGCAGTTATTAAAAGATTGTGTTTGGACCCCATACATTTAAGGGACATCCAATTAGTGAAACAATTTTCTACACAAAAATAATTTTAAAGTAATATAGAAAATATTTAAAAGACATTTAAAAAGATTGATACAATCAATTCATAATAGGAAGAATAAACTTGAAGACGCATCATTAAATATTTTAATTAAATACCTAAAATGTCTAAAAGTATAACTACTTTCCTGATGAAACATTCACTTTTATTGTTACAATTATTGTAACAGACTTGATAATTAGATATAATTTCCATAACTTAAAACCCATCTAATTACAGTATAAAATCCCTATATATTTAGAATGCTTAGAGTCATGAAGCCATCTGAAATTATACTGTTTATGGTGTTGTGTAAATGATGTCTTTCACCCAGTATAATCTTTTATTTTTTTAATGGTTTTTAGATTTATTCATGTTGTAGTGTGTATTAATACTCCTTTTTACAACAGTGTAACATTTTATAGTATGGATATGCCATATTTTATTTGTTCACTTATCATTTCATTGGCCTTTTGATTGTTTCCACTTGTGGCTATTAGGAACATTGCTACACATGTTTTTGCATAAACATATTTTCCTTTCTTTTGGGTTGATACTGTAAGTGGGATTCCTGGCTGATGTGGGAAGTGTATGTTTATGAAGAACTGCTAAACTGTTTTCCAAATTACTTGCTCCATTTGCCATTATCACCAAAGTGCAAGAGGGTTCCAATTCCTCCACACTGTTGCCAACACCTGTTACTGTCTTTTTGTTGTAGCCTTGTTGGTGGAGGTGAAATGATCTCTCATTGTGCTTTTGAATTGCATTTTCATTATGGTTAAAAATGTTGAGCATTGTTATATGTGCTTATTGAAGATATATCTTCTTTGGAAAAAAGTCTATTCCAATACTTGGAATGTTTTTTAACTTTGCTCCTTATTACTGAGTTTTGAGAACTGTTTACATGTTATGGATATAATCTTATATCAGCTATGTAATTTTCAACTGTTTTGTTTCATTCTGGGTGTGCTAATGTTTTACTTTTTTGATGATGGATTTTAATTTTCATAAGTTGAATTTGTAATAATTCACTTATTTATACTCCAAAGGAAACAATGTAAAAAATGCCTAAAATTCCCAATCCAGCTACCATCAATTCAGCATTTATAATTACTGTCAATAATCTTTTTATATGAAAGGTATCACCTAAAGGAACATTTTAAAACAGGTTGGACCATAAAACATGTTGGACAAATATAAAAGAAATATAAGGTGATATATTTAAATGTGAATATATAAATACTTCCATTAACTCAAAACAGACTTCAAAAAGAAGAGCAAATAATTAGTAAGAACAAAAAATATTAGAATAACAGAGTTAACAAATGGAACATGATACACTTTCACATACATATATGTATAAGTACACATACATATATATGTATAAATGCACATATATGTATTATATATATTGACTGGGAGACATTTTCTTAGAGCATGTTGAACCGTTAATAGTTATTTGAAGTGATATTTGGTGGGCTGTAAGACTCAGTAAATATAAAAAATTCAATATAATAAAGAGTATATAATCCAGTCTTAGTGGAAGTAAGGGAGGTTATAAAAATAATAACTAAAATAACTTTGATTTTGGAAATTTAAAAATATACTTCAAAAAAAAATTAAAGTTCTGCCTCAGCCTCCCGAGTAACTGCATTTACAGACATGTGCCACCATGCCTAGCTAATTTTGTATTTTTAGTAGAGACAGGGTTTCACGATGTTGGTTAGGCTGGTCTCAAACTCCTGACCTCAGGTAATCCACCTGCATTGGCCTCCCAAAGTGCTGGGATTACAGGTGTGAGCCATCACTTGAACCTGGAAGATGGAGGTTGCAGTGAGCCAGGATCATGCCATTGTATTCCAGCCTAGACAACAATAGAAGAACTTGGTCAAAAAAAAGTAAAAAGTTAAAAATTAAAGTCAAGAAGTAAATCATGACTATGCATACATTTTTATCTCAGCAATGCTGCTTTCAATTATATACTGAACAGATATGTATAAATATGCAAAACCTGTGCTATATATAATATGGACAGGAAACAGGAAAATACTGGGTAGAAGAGGTCAGTTCCCCAGCAAAGTTCCCACCTTCAGGCCTGAAAACTGATGGCCTTACATGAGAACACACATTCCTGTTTCCAAGCCCCAAAGTCGCCTTTTGGCCCCCCATATTCCCCTATTCTGTACCTATGTAGACCCCAAACCACCGGCTCCATGAGATGAACAGAAGAGCAGAAGAATGGCAGAATGGTGCATTAGAGAGAAAAGAAGGAGATTCTGAATGGTGAGAGTAGTTCAGCTAGGGACAGTCGGAGAGGAGAGGAAATTGGACGCTGGATGGCCAGACTCCAGGGGAAGATCATCTTCCCACTCTATTACCATTCCAGCTCCCCATACACCACACTGACAGCTACTTCCACCACTAAATAAAAGCCATGCATTCTGTCATAAACATTTACATGTCATCCTTCAATTCCATGTGCTACCTGATTCTTCCTAAATGCCAGACAAGGACCTGAATACTAACAGGGCACTGAACTGGTCAACACTTAAGCCATTAGAAGATGGCAAGGCTAAAAGAGTACCCTGTAACACTACCCACGTGGGCTTTGGGAGTTACAAACACCCACCCCAGGAAGGTGCCTTGGGACCATAGGCCAAGGGTGCTCACCCAGGCTCCTGCACCTGGCTTTCTGTGTGCTCTTCCTCCTGTAAGGAGTTTGAGTGTGAACAGGGAGTGAACAGATGAGCCACACACCTGTCAGACATCTTGTGAGGGGGGCCACAGAACTTTTGAATTTCATATACAAAAGTGTTTGACAGAATTATTACTACTATCCAAAAATTGTTAGCAACTCAAATGTCTATTGGTTATAAAATGATGACATAATCCATGTGTTAGCAATCAATAAAATACTACACAGCAATGGAACTAACCAACAACTGCTACATAAAATTTTTAAAGACTCTAATGAATACATATTATATAATTTGATTATATAAAGAAGCAGAACTAATGTATGATATTTGAAATCAGGCTAATACTTAATTGGAGGACAAAGCTAGTGACTAAATAGTTCAGGAACAGAAAATTATTCTAGGTAGGTTGTGATATCCTGTACTGTGAACTGAGCAGTAGGTAAATTGGTATCTTCTCTTCAAGATGATCTTACACTTTTGACCTACTCACTTATTGTATGTATATTTATCTTTCGGTTTTAATATTTAAAGGTTTATTGTATAAGATATGTAATATATTTTAAATTATAGGAATCAAATATCAAAATAATCATAAAACAACAGAGAAAATCCTAGGGGTTCCATCTTAGTGTGGCCAAGAAAAGCCTCTCTTAGAGGTAACATTTCGAGGGAAGCCTCAAAATGAGAGAGAAGCATGCCTTGAGTTGTTGCAAGAAAGAATGCTCCAACAGTGGGAGAGAGGGGACAACATGTGTAAAGGTGCTAAGATGAGAACACCTGTGGGAGCATAAAGAATAATAGAAGGTCAATGTCTCCAGAAGACCTAGTGTCCACGGAAAAAGTGTTAGGAGAAGAGCTTGCCAGTGTTTGACATTGCAGGGTCCTGTAGACTAAATAACAGAGTTGGATTTTTATTTTATTTTATTTTTTCATTATACTTTACGTCCTGGGGTACATGCACAGATCATGCAGGATTGTTACATAGTTATACATGTGCCATGCTGCATCCATTCCCC